CTGATCTTCCACTTTTCTCTTCTTTCTCCTCTCAGCTGATTGAGGCTTTTTTCCTCCTCTCAGCTGATCGTCGGAGGCTTTTTTTTACTACCAGTTCAGCTGAACTGGGCCGAACCAGTAGCATACCACCACTGCCCTCAAATACTGGAAGACTTCTTTCATATTAACACTAGTTCTCTTTTTTAGATTAGACGTACTCAGTTCCTTCAACTGTTCATCGTATGTTTCAGCCTTCAGACCCCTTATCATCTTTGATGCTCTTCTCTGCACTCTCTCTAGGTCTCAACATCTTTTCAATTCATAAATTCATTTATTCTGAAAAAGAAATGTTATTTCCTAAGTAATCCATTTTCACAAGACACAATAATACTCTCAAACGTTTGTGGTTGTATTTGGACTATTCAGCAGTTTTTTAAAACTATGTCAAGTATTCAGCACAAGGAGACTATTTTAAATTCAAGTCAAAACATAAATGATAATCTGCCCCTCCCCCCCCAAAAAAAATTGTGGATACAACACAAGCACTGAAATCTACCTAAAGGTTCTCCTTTTCTGGCTTTATTTCTTTTGATATAATTAAAGATGCTATATTTCACCAAATCTGTTTGTCATCTCAGTCAAGTCTAGTGATAGTGTACCTTCATTAAAATATTTTTAAAAATTATGAAGTCAAACTTGGTCCACCTTGTTTGTGGCCAATGACCACACCAAATATTTGAGGGGGGGCGGGCAGAGCTGAAAACTTCACACAATACATATGTAATAGTCAGTCATATCCTTTTCTTTATTTTTGCTACTGAATTATTCATTTTTTTTGACACTGTGTTAAACTATTTTAGGATTATAGTGCTCATGAGTTTCCCCCTCTGAAAAGTGCTAGGAAATCATGCCACCAATTTTTGATAATACATGTGGTTTTCAGAGGCTGTGAAGAGGGAGTTGGAAGAAGAATGAATCTGGTTGCTATAAGTTGCTGAGATCTGCAATATCTGTGACAGTTATTAATATTGAAACTGCACAATTACAACAAAAATTATGGTAGTCAAAGATATTACAGGTAGTCAATACCCTGATCTAGCAATAGATGCATAGAATCACCTGCTGCTGCTATATTATGAAATTCAAAGATATGCAAATAATAAATAAGGCCCCTTAATCAATTTTGCTCAATTTTCCTTGCCTCCATTCCTCATCCCCAATTACTACTGCATGAAAACAATGAAAAATGAACTAGATGTTGTTGTTTTACCTAGTTTGTTGTTGTTTTATCTAGTTTGGATAATGAAACATATGCAAGAAAACAACCAAGTTCAAAGAGCACTAAGGACCCCTCATTTCAACCCTGGACTACAAATATCCTCCCTTATTGGTGCAACAAAGAATAAAATCTGGCTGCCCTTTTCATTTTTTGTTGACTGAAATGGTTTGATTACAGCCATGATTAAATTCTTAAGGGTACGTCCAGAATAATTTTTCTGTGGTTTGTGTCTCATCTCTGCAATAGGACAAAATAACAATAGAGGCTCCAACAAAATATTTTCTTTAAAAAATGTCAGACTCAATTAGCCAGAGAACAAAGTTAAGGAATTCTAAATAACTCTGTGATGCCCCCATCCATGAATATATTTTATCCAATACGTGAAGAGTAGTGAGCCGCCCTTTCCAGGACAATTGTGATGACCTCACCAAAGTAGCTTATAACCATGCAGTCCATAGCAGCACTGAATTTGCACGGTTCTGAGTGGCAACGGGCCAAGACTTTGTAGCCATTCCAGAACTGCCACAGACACCACCACCCCAGAACATTTCCCTGGCAGACTGGCTTGCTCGACTACAAAGCAGTTGGCTGGTGGTTTGCAAAGCCCTGGAAGAAGCACATGAAATGTACAAGAAACAAGCTGACAAAAAACACCCTTAAGCCAAAGGACTTTAACATCGGGAACAACGTCTATTTGTCCACCAAATACCTTCAGTCCAGACAACTCTTGAAGAAACTTGGACCTAAGTACACTGGACCCTTTGCTGTAATTAAAATCATCAATCCAGTAACAGTACAATTACTGTAGACTGGCCTAAAAACATGCACCCAGTTTTCCATTGTAGCTTGTTAAAGCCAGCAATCGCTTTACCTTTGTGCCCTGTAACTAAATCATCTCCAATTCCTATCTTAATCAAAGGAGAGCAATACTTTGAGATCAAAGAATGAGGTCATATTATGGCAGGATGCTAGCGAAGGGAAGCAGGTTGAAGCATTTACAATGGCAGACGTGATAGCTAAGGAATCTCTAATTAACTCTGTGATGCCCCTATTCAGAAATACAGCAATAGCATTTAAGCTTATATACCACTTTATATTGTCCCAAACTATCCTCATGTTACTGACCTCAGATGGAAGGCTGAGTCAACCTTGAGCTGCCCGGAATCGAACTCCTGGGGTGAGCAGTGAAGTACTGCTTTCTAAACCCTGCGCCACCATAGCTTTTTATTATATTTAATCCTTGAAGAGTAGTGAGCCACTCTTCCCATCCTCTCTTCTCTTAGTGAAGAGGCAGTCTGTATGTTTAAGAAATGGGTGTTTGCTGTAGGAAAACTTCATGAATAATCATACATTTGTCAGATGGAGACTTGCAGATTAGACGTAAATTCATAGAGATTCACTACAAAAAAATTAACAATCATACCGTAAGGCCAAAGTCTATCTCTTTTCTTGTTATTAACATGACTATCTGAAGTGACTAGACAATAAGCAGCTGTGGCTCAATTCTGAGCTGTTGCAAAGTTTCATATGAATGTGATATAAATGTTTCTGGAAGAGTTGAAGCTAGAAGAAAAAAGATAATATTGCAGCCATAATAATTTGATTTTATATGCAGATACTGTAAACTTTTCCTGTTTTTTCTTTTGATATGGTTAGCTGGCATTGTACAAAATAAACTTTTTACCTAGAGACTCAGAAGGGAAAACATATTTTCTTGGGGGAAAATAAGGAGGGTTCAAATTTTATAATGAAAAGGAGGAATATGTTTATTCTTTATAATTTAATTCATTAGTTACATAACCTGACCAAGCTGACTAGCAGGACCATTAATTTTCCACATTATACATTTGTACATGTCCTATTTAAAATTCATTGTCTTTTTGTGATGGATTAAATAAGAACGCTGCATTATTATAAGAAACTTGAATGTGTTTTTCCAGATGTTTTCATTTAAGACAGCAGAATAGCCAATATAAAACAATCCATCAAAACCTATATATGTTCAGATCTAGGATTATTGAACCTGTGCCACATTAAACAGCTTTAATGAAACCAGCACTGCAACAGAATAAGCCTACAGACTTTAACCTATAATACTTTGCTTGAGAATAAACTTTACTGACTTCATGGAAATTTAATTCCAAGCAAATATGGACTCAGTTATGGTGTCGATGGTTTTACTATTGGAAAACTGGAAAGATACGTTGTTGTGGGGGGGGAGGGGGGAATCTATCTCTGCATTATGGACAATAATAGTTGACACTGACTTGATGGCACATAACCAAACAACCACACAAATAGAAAATCAAGTTATAACACAGGTACAGGATAATTTTGTGCAGAGGCTAACCATCCTTTTAAATAATGTTTAATAACTTTATAATATTTTTAAAAGTTTCCCAAAGGGGGTGAGACACTGGAATTTGTGGCCCTCACCCATTTTTGATTCTTGCTCATGATGACTTATACGTAAGTTACCTCATGTTTGATTACTGTAATGTGATCTTCATGGAGCTGCCCTTGGAAGCTGAAGCTGGTCCAGAATGCAGCACTACACATTTTTTGTGTTTCTCATTATGCTCATGTAACACCATTTCTCCTTGAGCTGCACTGATCCACAAGAGGCTTCTAAATGTAATTCAAGGTGCCCGTTATGACCTATACAGCCTCCATGACATAGGGAAGGGGTGTCAAACTCAAGGCCCATGGGCTGGATCCGGCCTATGGGACACTTCGATCTGGCCCACGGGGCGACCCTGGAAACAGTGAAGGACTGACCTGTGGTGCCTCTGCCAGCAAAAATGGAGCTCGGGAGGGCTGCGTTTTCGCTGAAAGAGGGTTACAAGAGGCCATCTCAGCTGAAAACGGAGCATGGGAGCCCATTTTCACTGGCAGAGTGTTCAGGCCACCACAGGTGCCCCTGACCACAGTGACGTCCCCGACCACAGTGACATCAAGCTGGCCCCGCCCATCCTGGCCATGCCCACCAGGTCAAACACAATCCTGATGTGGTCCTCAATGAAAACAAATTTGACACCCCTGGCATAGAGCCAGGCTAACTCCTGGACTACTTTTGTCCTATTGTTTCTTCTCATCTCTCCTGAGATTTCATTATTTTATTTTACAAAATTTTATTATTATTATTTTGTGGAAAGATGGAGAAGGTGTTTTCCACATCCTTTCTGTTAAACAATGCCATCTTGTTGGGACTCTGGAGATGCGGCAGCACCCGCCCTATGGGAGAGCATATCCCTGGAGACTGGGATGGCACCAGTCCTGTCAGCCTTTCTACAAGTGCTGAAGATCTATTTGAAAAACCAAAATCTACAGTGGCTGGCTTTATACATGCAAGAGAAATTGAAAAATATTTTTGATCACAGCAATAGTATGAGACCATTGATGAGAACTCAGGAAAAAAAAAAGCTGTGATTGGCATCTTAATGGCGAACAAAATGGGTCGTTGCAATGATATTTAATAGCAATTTATTACTGGTCGCATCATATAGCCCGGGGTAACAAAAATGATAATAATAAAAAAAGTTGGCCACTGGCCACCATAACTGGGTTCACACAGCACGTAGAAACAGAATGCGGTCGCTTGGTTATAGTTCTGGCAGCAATTCGGTTTTAACTGGAATTCCCTCCCCTACCCCCCACCCCGCACCCCCCACCCCCAGCTTCCAAATGTAGAGAGGGGAAGAGGAGGGGGTTGATCCAACCGCTCCCTCACTCGCTCTCCTTCCAGCAGTGGAGGTGGAGAGTCCCAAAGCCAGCCAGCCAGCCAGCCAGACGGGAGAATTTTACAAAGTCTTTTTTGGAGGAAACGCCGCCAGAAGCCACTTCCTGCCAACTTGCGCGCCTCGAGCCCCGAACTTTCCCCGCGCCGCCTCGGACCCCGCGCGGCAGGAGCGCTTCTCTTTCGGGGGTGCGCACCAAACGGTGGGTGTATTGGGAGGAGAGCGGCCGTCCCTTGGAGACCAGGGTTCGGCGCTTTAGGGTTTTTTTGCCAGTCCGGGAGAGGCGCGAGGTGGGAAGGCGGAGGAGAAGCTGCCGTCTCCGTCCGCCGCCCCCCCCCCGTCCCCCCCCCCCCCTTTTTTATAATTTGGTGAAAGATAGGGAAGCAAACAAGCTCTTCTGGCAGCGGCTTAGCCGAAGCCTCCGAATTGAAATCTTCTTGCTTGGAGTCGGTTTAGCTGCAAAAGAGGCAGGCGGCTCTTACGCCCACCTCAAACCGGCCTCAAGTCTTGGTTTTGTCTGCAATTAGGAGAATAGGCATTTCTGATTTCTGGCCAGATTCGACCTTCGAGAAGAGCTTGTAGGCTTGAATTGTGTTAAGGAGCCGAGAGGGGCTGGTATGGAGCGGTGGTGGCGGGGAGCAGAACAACCGGAGAAAGGCTATCTTATCCCCCCGCCCGCCCGCTCTCCTGCCGCTGCCTTTGAACCGCTTCTCCCTCCTCCCCAACACCTTAAATTGGCCACCTGCGAGGATGCAGGCATGTCGGACGGTCCTTCCCTTGGATCTCACCGACTTATTACCACTGAGATCCAACGTCCCCCAAGGACAATGTAATGTTGAACTGAATGAGCCGTCCCCCAACTTGGAGCCCTTCAGGAGTATTGTACTACAGATCCCATCTCTGTCAGCCAGCAGAATGGGAGTTGCAGTACAATGCATCCGGAAACCGACAAGGGTGGGACACGCAGTTAACTTTTTGCCTTGAAGTATTGAAGTTCTCGAGCAAAACAATCTCGGTTCCCTTCGAATTGGAAGGCTCTTTCTTTTACTCGTGAGTTAAATGGGCGGGGGTGGGGGTGGTTTGTGTTTTTCTGCGAAATGATCCATAGTTTCTTAAAAGTAAAAAAAAAAGTGATTCTAATGCCTTCTCTTTTCTCTTAGGCATTTGTCTCTAAGTTGGAATAGGACAAAAATTATGTGATCTGTAAATGTCTTTGAGTTCAATGAATTTCTGTATAATAATGTGTTTTAAAATATTTACTTAGAAAAAACTTTATGTCAAAATATGGTTGCATTCTGGAGTTTATAGAAAGTTAAAAATAAATAAATATATTGCTTAGTCAAATAAAAAAAACCCATGTGCCTGAATTTACATCAATCCTTATTCTAGTTCTAAATAATAAATCTATTTAATTTGAATGCAACTCCAAAAATCACATACAAATTTAGCTAACATCCAGAAATGCATAAACTAGCAACTAGACAGTAATAATAACAACTACATTACAGTTTGAATAGCTTTAAGTATAAATGAAATCCATTTGAATTTTGTTTTTGCTCTAGTTCTGTTCCATACTTTTTGAAGTATGGCCATCAACACGCTACTAAAAGGGTAGCTATGAGTATTTACCGCTGTCAAAGTTGCACATCTTTCATTTAGCAGTAAATATCACATCATTCAATTTTCAACCATTGTCATTATTAGTTTTGCTAAAATACTTCATTGGATTAAATTAATGAAAGACTAGAATAAGATCAATTTACTTTTCAGTGTATACCTTACATGGTACAACTAACATTCAGAAATTAAGTTCCAAGTAGGCACATATAGCTGTATTGTGTTCTGTGGCAAGATAGTCACGTCTGAAAGTTCATTTATTTCAGTGGGATTCAAGTCAACTAATCTTTATTGGATTTAATTTAATATCTTTAAGATAGTAATTTTAGTTTTCTTAAAGGCAAGATAATTCAGCCAAATTGAAATATGGCCAATGTGTTGATTAAGAAGTAAGTTCAAATTGTCAGCCATGGAAGCTTAGTCACTGTCAGCCCACCTGCCTCAATGGGTGGTTGTGTGTACAATTGGAGTATAAAATGAACTGTAAATAACTGATGCTTCTGAGAAAATATGGGGTATAAGTCTATGAAATAATAACTTAGGGTTATTAGATCATTGTTGCAAGGATATAGCTAATTATTAGATGGTAGCAAAGGTACATAGAACCCCTTTCCTGCTGGCATAGACATAAAGGAACTAAGGATGAAATGTGTCAACACAAATACTATGATTTATGTATTATATCAGATGCTGTGTCACAAGTATATAATTGCATGGTGTCAATATTGTAAATGTTGCTCCCTAAGAGTCCTTATGGTGTTTGCATCTGTTTAAGATGGCAGGCATAAACATTGCCTTAGAAACAAATGCCACAATGTATACCTTCTGAGTATTCATAAATGGGATTGTATTATAATTACTTAAGTAAACCAAAGCTGGAGTTTACCGAATGCTAATTAGTTTTCTTTAGTTAGTAGTACTGCAGGAGTATAGAATTTAAATAGAATTTCAGAAATAACATACTGTTTTGGGATTATGGAACTTGTAGTCCAGCACCCTGTTGAAGAAAGTTTTGTCTTAAGATATGCATATATTTCAAATACAGTTCTTAGAAAGTTCAACTAAATAGACACCCACTACTTAAAGAGCTCGAATACGTAAAAAACAGTACTTCCTATATGAGCCCATAACTGTGGATACCAAGACTATGATGGATCAGGCAAGTAGGAGGAATAATTGGATGATATTAGGGAAGACATAGTTTGTTAGGAAGAGGGAAATGGTGAAGGGAAGGCAGTTGATCATATTAATTTTTTTCTGTTGTATGCGAATGTCAGGAAACAGAAATAATATTCCACTCTTGATTCTTTAAATACGAACAATTGGCACTGAAGATAAATTGTAAAGCTAATAATATACTAAAATGATCCATTCAAACATAAAACATAGAGTCACATGAAAGTTATTTCATGTATTGCATCACCTTTCTACAGAACTTATATCACTGTAGTAAGGCATTTTTCTGAAGTAAGGCAAAATTTCTGTTGCTAAACAAAAAAATTGTTAAATGAATTTTGGCGCATTTTATGACCATTCTTATTTATTTACTTGTTTGTTTATTTATTTATTTGATTTGTCAATCGCTTACAAGATAATAGGTATAAGTATAAACATAGTTATGAATACATGAAATGGATACATATAAGAAAAAATAAAAAGAAACAATAGGACAGGGACGGTAGGCATGTTGGTGCACTTATTCACGCCCCCTACAGACCTCTTAGGAAAGGGGTGAGGTTGTTGCCACAGTAGTTATGTAAATCACTGCAGTTATAAGTTAGTAACTCAGTTGTTAAGTGAATCTGGCTTCTCCATTGACGCTGAGTCACATGACCCCAGGACACTGCAACCATCATAAATATGAGTCAGTTGCCAAGCATCCAAATTTTGATCATGTGCCCATGGGGATGCTGCAGCGGTCCTACATGTGAAAAATGGTATTAAGTCAGTGCTATTGTAACTTTGAATGATCACTAAATGAACTGTTGTAAGTTGAGGACTACCTGTAATTCAGGTTCTTGAAGAAAGCTTAAACTTGCAATAAAGCTATATATTCATATAAACTGCCTGGATTCTTGATTTCCCATGTTTGACATTTTGTTTTCTGATTATCTATTTTAAAAGTAAAAACACTTCTCTTTTTGTTTAATTAAATAGAAGCTTTTATTACAATGCTAATACTACAACATAAATATTATTTTTCTTTGTAGGCTTTAAAGTAAAACATATTTTCTTGACTTTGAATATTTAAAAATGAAAACATTTCATTTTTGGATAACCTTGGCACTTTTTGTAACTGGATCTGTCATCAGTGAAGGTTCAGAAAGAGACTTTTCCAGCCTGAATAACTCTGGAACCTCTGCCAAAGAAATGGAAGATATATTAATTACTCCTGCCAGTCAGCCCAACAATAACAGAAGTGATTGTCGAAAGGGTCCCAGAATGAGTAATACTTTTAAACATATCACTACAGTAATTTCTTGCGCAATATTCATCATTGGGCTTGTTGGGAATGCAACTCTTCTGCGGATAATTTACCAGAACAAATGTATGAGGAATGGACCCAATGCACTGATAGCCAGCCTGGCCTTGGGAGATCTCATCTACATCATCATAGATATTCCTATCCACATATATAAGGTAATATGCCATAATGCTTATGCTTTGTATAATTTTTATAGCGGAATAATGTGGTACAATAATTTTGCATACATAAATCATCATTCTTTCGGCCATTGGAAAACTACATGTAAACAAACTTTTTATACGAGACAGACCTTTAAACACTTATCAAATGAACAAGTGAACTTAAAATTTATTGTAGTTGGGGTGGAAATGAAAAGTCTTATGTGGCCTATGTGATAACCTTTTTTCTACATGTTAACTGATGCCCAGTGTACAAATTACTTAAATGTGGGAGAATGTAGGCATATGGTTAGTATTTAGTCTGTGCCAAATAAAGTACTTGCATTTCACTAGAAACATAATAGTGTTTTAAGTGATTTATTATTTTATTATTATTAGCTAAGAAAGTACTTGTAACAGGTCTTTTTTAGAATAAAACTTTCTATGGTAAGAAATGTATGCAAATCATTACTTAACTACAAAACAAACAATGCAGTACATTATTGTTGTGCACAGAATGAAACAGCTTGGAAAAGACAAGCAGATGGTGAGGGATCAGTTCTGTATTTGACTAATGTTATTGATGTCTTGGGTACATTTCAGCCTAATTAGTTATAGTTATTTAGTTATTCTGTTTCTGTATCGCTAATCAATTTCATAAGATGGTGTTAAATGTCATTGATTTTTTGTTATTGTGTTATACAGAGCTTATAATTTTATCTATCATGCTATTTAAAACAAAACAATTCTGAATGTTCATGGGATATAGATTATCACTATGGATGATAGTCAGATGATTCACTTCCATAAACCAGAATTTAATATAGCGAGGGAGCATCTTTACAATTATGCAATCCAATTAGTGGTTTGGATTTTTAAAAAGTTTTTCACCTTTATTTTCCCACAAATATCCCATATTTTTTCTTCTGACACATAGACCTTTAGCTTTCTGTTCTTTATTTCTCTAGGCCATAAGAGACAGCTGTAGTTGCT